ATCTGAATATGTATAATAATGCCAAAAATAAATTCCACTGAAAGTTTGCATTTTTTTCACCTTACAAAGTATACAGTTCATATCACCGACAAAAAATTAAAGTTTGTTTAGAGTTAAAGAAAAGTGCTTTTTCGTATTCAGCACACGTGATAACCTAGAAAATTTTCTATTTTTAGCGAGGGATACCGTCAAAAAGTTAAGAAAAATCTTCAAAACTATATAATTTTGCCATAGGAAGTTTTCTGTGTCAATTTGTATGAAAATTTTTCTTCACTTTTTGGCGGTACCCTCTCTAAAAATAGAAAATTTTCTAGGTTATCACGTGTGTTGAATATGAAAAAGCACTTTTCTTTAACTCTAAACAAACTTTAAATATTTTTTATCGGTGGTATACGATAACGTTTCAAATTAAGACGAACTTCTAAGATAGTTGAACTATTTTAAATATATTTAAAGTCTATTCAGTAATACTTCAGAAATACTTTTCAATTATAGTATTTTGCAGTAGTACACCAGTATCTGTTCGATCAATACCTATTTGAAAAAAATAATGTTTCTTCCACTAATAATCATATACCGTACTAATTATAAAAAATACCAATATACATTTCATAAGAATATGTCTCATTGAATGAATAATACCTAATAGGCATAAAATATACACAAGAGATTGTTGATGCGTGGTATACGAGCACTTTCTAACATAAAAAAACAGTTATTTTTATGTTGTTTTTACATCATGTAAAGCACTACAAACGTTTAGGTATATGTATACATAATTAACAAAAGAAAAATTGCTCGTATTTTTTCCTCTGTTTGTCATTATTAAACAAGTTGTAAATACTGATTATTAGTACAGTTAAATGATTTCATTGAATCAATTATTTTTCTCTAATAACAACTATTTTCAATTTCAAATAATTAAATGAGAAAAAAACATGAAATATCTCCTACATATTACCAATTGGACACCACACTTTTCTCCTTATTATTTATATAACTTACATTTGTTTGCAACATAATTGACATAACCATCCTGAATCATTTACATTATAAATTAATCTGCACTGTTTACAAACTTTAGCACCACATTTTGGACAATTATCGCCAGTATTAAAGACAAAACCGAATGGAGTTTGACATCGAGCACACTGATCTGTTCCATTTGCTTGTGGAATTGCTTCTAATTCTTCTACTTCCTTCCGAAGTTGTCTTAAAAAAGAAAATATTAAACATTTAATTGATTCTAGATAACATTATAATCAATAATTATACACATACAAAAATCGTGCTAGATGTTGTGAACGTAATTGTTCGTCTCGATACAATACTTTTAGTATATGTTGTTTCTCATCGTCTTTAAGTGCCGATAAATCGGGAAGTTGAATATCATTTAAATTGTCTAGTTCATCTTTTGTTGATAATGAACGTGTCATTATTGTTCACAGTAATTCATGAGAAGAACATGTCTAAAACAGAAAAAAAGAAAACGGAAAAATTATTGTTCAACAATAACTATTTCTTGATCTTTAGATAATGATCAGTTGTCTAATAATCATATACCGTAAACTAGAGATTTGAAATACATTAGATGTAATAAATGGACTGAAAATCTAACCGATAGTTTATTCTGTCATATTATATCAGAAGAGAAAAATTGAAATATTTTTAGCCAATATTAGTGTTTTGAAACTAGTATCGATAAATTTATGTCAACTGTATATTAATAATTTTATCATTGATAAAATGTAACTTCTCCGATAAAATTGATTTAATTAATTAGAGAATAATCAAACGAGAGCATATGAATATTAGTATAAACTATTTATTAAGTAAAGTATAATTTCATCATATCTACAAATCATTATATAGATATAGATAAGGTATACATATAGTTTAAACAACAAAAAATCCATCAAAGTGAGCAATAAGAAAATGAAGAAAAGAAAAAAACTAAAAATATTAATAACACGAATATTAAAAATGATAAATTGTTCAATTTTTAGTAAAAAGATCAGTTTTTTTTTTATCATATTTTTTTTTTCTCATCTATAGTGAAATATCATGTAATATATTTAAAATAATATAATAATAATTTATTTTGAAGTATAAAAATTTTAGCAAGCTTTGAAATATTTTATTGATCATATCAATGAGAGAAGAAAATATTTTAACTTCTCAAATTTAAACATATTGCGGTATTTTTTGAATATCTTTTGATCAAATTTTCAAAGTAAAATGTGTTTCAATACGACGAACGACGAATAGTACACTGTTTATAGTATCCTACAAATATTTACAATTATCGTTAAGAAAGAGAATAATTGAATTTCAATACGTATGAATCAATATTCGAATAATTTTATACAAATTCAAAAGATTAATTTCGTTACTACTTTCAGATACATTTTTGACTATTGAAGATTTGACTACATAGAACATTTAGCAGGTGGAGAAAAGATATAAAATTTCCCAACGCTTTCATCTCTCTTAGACCCTATTCTAATGAGCCATATTTTTTTCTCTAAGTGTTTATTTTTGAATAAAACAGTATAATTGTGCAGTAGAATAATATTCTATCATCAATGTTTTTTTACTATTCCCCTGTGAAGTAAGATTGTCCTATGATATAAAATTTCCCATCAACTTCAGACTTAGATATTTAATAACACAATAAAAAAATACTTTTTCAAAGTAAGATTAGCGAAACTATTTTTTTGGAAATAAGTAGATAAGCAAATTCTTACTTCATAATTTTGAAGAAAAAAATTTTGAGGACAAAAATAAAAATTACTATAATAATAAAAATTAACATCTTACATTTAATTGAACTACATTAACAACATTTTTTACAATAGTTTTCTCTCTTTTGTAGTATTTTAGTTATAAATCTTGGTAGAGATGGGGTGGATACATGTTTATCTAATAATTATTTTAAAAGTGGATGAGTGAATGAATATAATATTAAAAAAAAATCTGACTTTTGAGCGATGAGTTTCATCATGAAAAACAACAAATGTAGGTAGAAAAAAGAAAATGAGAAAAAAACTATAGGTCTATTATGTGACTATTCATCTTGTATTCACACTATCTATCTGGTAATATTAACTGTTTTGTTCTTTTTTTTTTCTTTTTTTCTTCTACTTTTGAACGTAAAAATTATAAGTACTAACAATCTGTTCATAAACACACTTGTAAAATACGTAAAATTTTTTTTTTACAGTTCAACAACTCGAATCATACCAATGATGATTACGCTTACAATAATGATGCCAACATCAACGAAAATATAAAAAAAGAAGAAAAGTGAGAAGAGAGAAAGAAAAAGATTGAAACTTTGATTCATATATACGTTACATATATATATATATATATATATTATTATAATATATATATATATATATTCCATGAGTACGAAAAGAAAAGTTTGTATATTTATAAAATATATGTAATTTTGGTTCTGTGTCAGTCTCTACTTGTATTTTCATTCGAATGAATGAAAAAAAAAAAAAAAAAGAACAGACTAATTTTTTGAAATATACTTAATACACTTGGATTCATTACCTGTATTCTGAAGTGTATATATATATATAATATATATCTATATATGTATCGTCACATATACTGAACAAAAATTGTAAATATTTACCTGTACGATATAAAGGATAAAAAGAGGAGAAACACAAAATGAAAAATGTCAATCCTTCCTATATCATATACATCAACTAAACTATGTTTCGAAGGAGTATCACATAATAAATTAGTATACTATATGTGTAACAATGCAAAATAGAAGGAATATGTGACTATTCACAGACTAGTTTGACATATTCTAATCTATTTTTAGTTTATCAACTTCTCTACAAACATAATATAAGTATAAATTTTAAAAGAATATCAAATATTCAAAGTATTAACTTAAAAAAAAAATGTGTGTCTGTCTAATCCTGTGCACATGAAAGTCTGTTTTAAAAGTATATACGTTCTATAGGGTTATAGATCGAGTGATAATAACCTACCAGAAATTACTAATCAAAAAAAGTACACGCATGGATGTTTTCTCTACTCAGTTGGAGGCCGTCAGTATAGTTTGATGGTTTGTTTTTAAAAATATTAGTAAATTTTTCTCCTCTCAAACCGATGAATACTTTCTTCTGTTAATAGCTTTAAAATTATTCACTAATAAGACAGACATTATCAAGAGACTTTTGGACAGATCTCTAGAGACAAAAAAGAATTGATAATATACAAAATAAAATTATTTTTCCTACATTTCTAGACATAAGGCAAAACATTTTTATGTCAATATTCATTTCACAAATTAACATTCGATAATAAGAAGTTTTTATAAGTGCATACAAGTTCTAAAAATTATCACTTTAAGAATGCGTATATAGTCGTTTGATTCTCTACAAAATAACTACTCTTCCGTTTCCTGAAGCTTTTAATAGAACGTCTACTTCTCGTATAGTAGTAATCAACCAATAGCTTGTTTTTCTAGATGAATTATATATTACAGTGACATTTCTAAGAGGATTAACGTGCATATAGATTGTGAAACATGCAATTTTGCATGATATGTATTAATAAAAAAGTTAGATTTTGAAAGTACAATCAAGAACCTTATTCAACAGTATTTGTTACCATCTATAAAACTTTAAATTAGCATTATTCTAACGCTTGTATGAGTCACATAGCATATCTTAATGTTTCGAGACAAAAATTTTTAGCTATCAATATTTATTAGATTTTTAGAACAATTTACTATGTTAGTCTGCCAGTTAGTCTGCTTAGAATAGTTACCGAAATTGCCTTAGAAAGTATTCTTATGCCGTCAATGTACGATATTCTTATGCAATGTACGATATATTACTCATTATATATTTCTTTATAACTACCTTTCGTTCTTGAAGACAGAACACTTCGCTTGTCATGCTGGATACGAAATAATGAAGGTTGAAAAGCGGAAAAAATTTCTTTGCATAAAACATAGATAAATGAGATTGTCAGAAGCATTTAGTAATGCGCAGGATTTGTGTTAATTCAAGAACCAAAAGCCGTGTGTCTTACTTCTTCTAATCAAGATTCTTATTATCTGGAATCGAATTGTCCTTTCATTTAAAAAGACTTCACATGTACAACAGTTTTGCTTATATTATCCTCTACCTCTCTTCCTCTCTTCCTCTCTCGCTCTCTCCTCATATGTAAGACATTATACGGTTAATCGCGCAGAAATACAAGAAATTAAGCACGAGTACACACACATACATACACACACACACACACGTACATGTATTATATTTAATCGGTTCTAGATTCAATAAAGAAAAAATCGTAACGTTTTTTCCTGTATTCTCTCTCTCACTCTCTCTCTCTCTTTCTCTTTCAGTTATTTTTCTCCTTTTGTTTTTATTTGTTAATGAATCTTTAAATAACAACAACGCTCAAAAAACTTAAAACTAAGATAAATTGACATTGATTAAGATTATCTCTTTCTTATTCAAATAAATATTTCGATGTATAATTTAGTATATTCTAGTAGTGTTATTTATTTTATAGACAATAGTGACAGAAGAAATACAAAAAAATAGAAATATATATATATAAATATAGATGAGAATTATTTAACGGTCAAAAGTAATAGAACTAATCGTTGAATCAATCTATACATACATGATGATGATGATGATGATGATGATGATGATGATGTGTGCAATAAGAGAAGAAAGATTGAGAAAGAAAGAAAAAGGATGAATCCTTATTTTCCGGGTTTCTTTTTTTTTTCAATGTCATTTTTATTCGTATTATTTTCTTTGATAAAGACAATGAAATAGACTTACTGTTGGACTTAAAAAAACGAATGTATTTTATTTTTTGATCTGTTAATGATGCTTAAGGCGCTCAATATCGACTAGATTCAATTTAATATAATATATATTATTTTTTTGTTGACTTACATAATTGCTAACACTAACTTATCTATCTAAAACTACAAAAAATAAAATAAAATTGATTAAACACAAAATTGTCCTCGGGCAGGAAACACTTCCTAATTCATAAAGAGATGGATGATACAATTTATTTATTTGTTAATATAAGATAATTCAATAAAAGATAATTTCTAACAGCTTTAACACAAGATACGATAATCAACACACTATTAATATAAGAACGGTGTCTAAATGTTATTACTCACAGTTGAAAGCACTTCATACCGTCCTTATTACAACTGATTAAATTATGAGAAAAAAAAAAATCATTTTTTTAACAACTAAGATTTGGGTTTCAATATCAATGCTCTCTACGCTATGCTATGATAGTGAGAATTCTAACATCCCTAAAAAAAATTTCCATACGTTTTATTTTTATCTCTTTAAACTGTTGTTTTAAAACTAAGAATAACATCATAATCAGAAACAATCGGAAATCTTCTATA